TCAAGCCCCGATGGACTGGCCCTTTCAAGTGTATGGGAGGTGAAGAAGTGACGGGCTCGGCACAATTGGTAGAGATATCTTCTTTGAGTGACCAACCCCGAGGACAAGTGCATATTTCTAATGTCAAGTTGGCAGTTCTCAGTGACGAGCAGTTAGACGTCTATTGTGGACGAGATAAGAGCCAGCCGACGACTACCTCTGCCGTCTTCCCAGTCTCGGGAGACATACCGACTGTCAAGTCAGAGCAGTTTCCTGCAATGCGACACTTCATGATCGAGGGTGGCGACAAGGAAGGGCAGCTCTTGGTTGCAAGGTCGGTCGTCCCCATCAAGGATTCTACTGGTCTATGGCTACAGTGCGATCAATGTGACGTGTGGACAGAAGTTACGGCAGTGCTCCATGAAGCCTATAAGGGTGATGCTCCATTCAGTTGTAGTGTTCTCGGTGTTCCATGTGTGTTTCAGGACATGTGATTCTCGTATATGTTTTCTTGCTGCTATTAATTTTACGGTCGATTATTCGAACTGTATATCATCAGCAACAAGTTGCTGTATTCATTTGGGGGCGGCCAGTATCCTCATATCTTTGGTCGTCGCCCGCCCGACCGTTTTGCTCTATACTAACTCGTAGCAGCATGATCAATTAAGCAAGATTAAGGTTTGATTTCTCTCCTATGGTTGTGTTGAACGATGATCTCGACAACTCCCCCAACACGACTAACGAGTCCGTAATGGCCAATGAGCATAGCGGAAATGGCTATGCCACGATACAACTTGTATCATACAACTCTTGCATGAGACACTATCAACAGAAAGCAACTAGCGCACGACACGAAATATCGTCTCATAACACACGATAAACCAAAGGCTATATTTGCGTGGAAACTTACCTACCGAAAGAGCTAGCGACGGAGCGTGAGCAAACTCTTAATAGAGGGGAATTCCCAAAATCGAAGACAGATGAACAAAATCGAGGGAAAGTTTTTCGCTCACTCGCGCTGGCCAAAATCCAAGAACTCGAGCCGAAATCCAAGACACGCCCTGCGCTTTCTCTGGAGACAGCGACTTGGATTTAGTCCTTTACCTCGGATTTTGGTCAGGTGCCCTGGATTCTGTCTACACCTTTTGAACACCTTGTTCGTTTGTGGAACCATCAATTTCGTCGGAACGCGCGAAGTTGAAGGTACGGACCCGAATTGGAAAGATCATATTCGCAATTAGAACCTCCAAATTCGTCTGAAGTCGGTAGGAAGTTCAAGTTCGTTTGAATAGAATTTTCAATTTCGACTTTCACTCCCGAGTCGGAGGGGCTACCTCCACAACTGGGACAGTAGGATAAGGCGTAGCGACTATTTTTGTGGCGCGTGAGGGTAACGACTATTCGTAATACACCCCTCCACATATTCTTAGCATAACCGGTTTTTCGACTCGTGCACAGCCACCACAACGAGTATCATCTTGCGGCTCAGGGAGGTATGTACTTATGCTTTACCCGATATGACCTCCAAGTTCCAGGGCCTAACTCTTCGTAGTTAGTGAGAAGTCGAAGACCGGTAAAACGTTTTCTCCACATATTCTTAGCATACACGTGTTAAAATTACGCCTCAAAATACCAACTTTTACTCGGGGAGTATATCTATAACTCCGCTCCTGATCTAATGCTATACATCAACAGAAAGAGAATCGTTCATAATG